ACATGCCATCATATCGCCTTTAAGAATAGTGAATAAAAAATCATTTAGGGGTAGGAGGTAAGAGTTATTTTTCTCTATGTAGACGTTGATAAGGAGCAAATCATAAATTATTAGAAAAATGAAAACTAATTTTACTACACTATAAAAAATTATAATTAAATATTAAAATAAACCTAATAAGTTACGTATTAAATATTTTCAGAGATTTTTCTACAATCTCCTCTCAAGCTTCCCCTCTTTTTTAGTTATGGCTACTCTAAATAAATGGCAGCGCTATTAATTAGCTACTATTTTTCAAAATAGTATAGTAACTAACTATCGCTATTTAAATAATGTAGCGCGCTACTTTTAACATAGCTTATGGTGAATAGCTATAACAGTGACGAAACTAGGGAAACAATGAAAAACATTTATCTCTCATTTGATTTATTAAAACGGTAAAGCAGAATAATGATATTCGGCAGACAGAGCATGGCATGATGATTGTACTTCAGGAACATGTTCTTCCTTGCAAAATGGCAAAATTATGCAAATATAAGCTAACTAAACCCAATAGCGATTATCAAAATAGCGAGATATTAAATGATGAAAATGTAAAGAAGTCTAAATTATTAATATATAAATAATTTTATAAATTATAATATGTAATTATAAATTATTAATATAAAAATCATTATAATATTATGAGACTATTGTTATATAATTATAAATATATTCCCATATAATTTTTATACAATTTTTAAACGATTAATTATATAAAAAGTTGTAGTAAATATTATAAAACTTTAATTATATAATCTAAAATAAATATTACAATTTTGTAAATTATGGCTATACTATTTAACTATTATTATATATAAATATTTTAATTCTTTATTAAGTAATTTAGTGTTGTTAAAAGCCCGCTTTCGATTTTTTAAAATGGCCCGATAATATTTTATTCAAAATAATTTTAGGTAACCTAACAAATCTTCTTACGCAAAATCTTCAGACAGTGACGAAGCATCAAATACTACCAGGGAAGCAATAGAAAATCATTTTTTCTTTTTATAAGTCTAACCATACAAAAAATTAAAATTTATAAATAAGCAGAATTCGTCCTTGTTTTTGAGTAAAATTTCGTTTCATATTTTGCGTCTGGAATCTATCATATTTTTAATTCAATTTTTGGCAAATGATTTTAATAGAATTATCGACTTCAAATAAGCGGTTGATTCTTCATGCTGTAAAACTGCCTTTAAAAAATTATTCATATCCAAACATATTTTTCCTTCAAGAATAATAGGCGACCAACAATATAGGGATATAGAAAATCCACATCCAGTGAGCCATTCATATTTTTCATATTAATCCTTTTGGTTTTTATCTTCCTATTAATAATCCATTGCTTCACATCAAAAATTTTTAAATTAAATCATTTTTAATAAATTTTCAATAATACAATTTGCAATTATTAGACACAGATAAAAATATAATATAAAAATATTCTCAACCTCTTTTATTTATTTAAAAAATAGGCATTTTTTTATTTACTTCCCCAACACATATTATTTATTTTCTCCTTATTTATTTTAAAAAATAGATAATATTAAATTTGCTTCACTCATGTAATTTTTTAAGGTAGTAAAAATAATAGTAATTTTTTAAAAATAGTATACATATATATTATTTTTATTTCAGAATTAGAGTGTATGCTTCTTGGGGATAGGCAGTAAAAAATCTTTTTTGGGTGGAGTTAGGGTTTTTTCTATCATGTCGAGGTAGACGCTGATATAATTTATTAGAAAAATGAAGACTAAATAAACACTCACAAAAAAATAATTTTTTAAATCAACCCAAATCGGAAAAGAATCATAAGACACCACTTGAACATGTGTGTTAAACAATCCTGTGAGTCACTAGAATTTTATAAAGATTCTATAATTTTTACAATATTTTGGCAGAATAAAAAACTCTTTTAAATGCTTTGGTCTTTCTTTTTATAAAAAATTATTTTCACCCAAAGGATTCGTATTTTATCAAAATTTTGACAAGCAGTTAAAAATATATTTACATAATGTTACGACTATACATTTTAAAGTAAGGTTTAATGAATGAATCATCAGTTTATGTATTATTATATGTCATTGCCATCTATAAGCAACAATTTTAGGTCAAAGCATCTACTAAATAAGTATTTTTATTACTGAAAGATGTATACAATATGCGCGAAAAAAAAATATTTATAAATTTTTATATTAAAGTTACATTATTATACAAAATAATTATAAAAATGTAAATAAAGTATACCATATATAGCAAGGTAAATATATAAAAGAAATATAAATAAATACGGGTTATGATTGTTGTTTTATAAAATATGAAACATTATCTAAAAAAGGATATATTTCATTTGTACGCTCGTATATACGAGTTAGATTATCAATGTTAATATTTAATTGATCATATTTTTTATTTTTTCTTCTCACGTTCAACCCACTATTAATTTGTAAGATCTTAAGCTCACTCGAATGTTGATGTCTTTTTAAAATATTTATCAGACAATAAATATTCGGGTGAGCCACGTTTGTTTTTCTCTTGAGGGCATGATGATACCCCTCCAGGTGGTTGTTTGTTCTAGGGCCGTCAACTTGATACCTAAATTGATTATAAGTAAAGTTAATATTTAAATGTTTTAATTACCTGGTCCATATATTTCGGGGGAATATGGCATTAACTCCGAGCCATGTAAAATCCATATACTCCATAAAATTTTTGAGCAAAGGATATTCAGCAGACAGAGCATGGCATGATGCCCGTACCTCGGAAATATGTTCTTCTTTGCAAAATGGCAAAGTGGTCATTCGTCTAACAACTTGATGAATGGTAGTATTGTGCAAATAACCGCTAACTAAACCCAGCGCCTGACATTTACGCCAAAGAGCCTGGGAATAGTGAAAAAAACAGCCTAAATTTTTTTAATTATAATATACAATGTTATAAATAAACCTTTTATGGACATATTGGGAAAAACAAACCTAAGCGCCGATATAGCTGCGGCCTCGTAATCAGTTTGTCCAAATCGAGGATTGAATCGGATATTTTTCATCGAGCAAAATTGTAAGATAATTTGAAATAATTCAATATATGTCCCTCTATTTTTATCGGGGAGGAGGGCATATATAATCGGTATCATAACTTCTTGATACATTATATGGATACTATACAATTGACAGTACAGTCGAGGAACGACATAAAAGGTGCCGTCCATGTAAATGCTATCACCATCACATATTTCTACAAGTTTTAGCATTTCACATGTACCAAACACCAGCATATTATTATTATTATCATTATTAATTAAAAAAATCTCCCCCTTATTTGTGGTGATGTATTCTGGTAATAATACTAGTTCATCCACAGACTGAGGCAAAGTGGGCCGATTTTTTTGTAACAATCTGTCAATTGTACTCTTAATTGAAACAAATGAGGGCATTGCCTCTGGATACATTTCGATGGAGGGCGTTTCTAGGCATCTTTTATTCAAGGCCTTTTCATAAATATTGTGCCTTGTCTCTAGAGGATTTTCGGCAACAATATCCTCTAGAACCTTGTGAGTTCTCAGTTTTTCAAACTGACCGATTTCATTTTGGTGTTCATGCAAACCAGAGGTTGTGTAAATTCCATCAAATTTACATGAAGCCTTGCAGCCAACCTTTCTGCAACGATAGTGTATTCTATCATCTTTTTGATAAGCATATCGATATAAATAATTTTGGAAAAAGAGAAGCAGTTTTCCTTTTTGAGATTTTATAAATTGAGGATCTTAATAAATATAAAAATCATATATTAATATGATTAATATGGAGCTCTAATATTTAATCAGACAGAACCAGATACTTAAAAAAATAAATAAAGCAAATAAATAATTATTGATTTATTATTTATCTTTAAAAAAGATGTAATATTTTTTTAATTATTCCAAGGTCATGCCTAAATATAATTAAAAAATAGCCTAGCTATATTATACATCAGGGGTTACTTAATATGTCACATTCTGTATTTAATTTTTTTTTAAAATAAATTTAAAAAAATAGCCTTATAAACATATTTTTACCACTAATATTTTGATGTAAATCTATTAACACATTGGCTACTTCTAAAGGGAGATCACCATTACCTATAAATATAATTTAGTAATTGTCAATTTGTGTATTGAATACTTTCAATTCCAACATCTGAATTAATAACATGATAAGCACCTGAATTATTTTGATTTGAGATAAAAGTTTGAAAGGCTATGGCAAAACCAGAAGTTTGAGGGGCTAATGTAAAATTTATAATTTGTGGAGCTAATTATTATAAGTTAATGTTATAAATAATAACATCATAAATACCTTGACTTGAATTAATATTTTGATGGGCTATGGCATCAGAAGTGGAAGTTAGAGGGGAAGTAAAATTTATAATTTGTGGAGCTAATTATTATAAGTTAATGTTATAAATAATAACATCATAAATACCTTGACTTGAATTAATATTTTGATGGGCTATGGCATCAGAAGTGGAAGTTAGAGGGGAAGTAAAATTTATAATTTGTGGAGCTAATTATTATAAGTTAATGTTATAAATAATAACATCATAAATACCTTGACTTGAATTAATATTTTGATGGGCTATGGCATCAGAAGTGGAAGTTAGAGGGGAAGTAAAATTTATAATTTGTGGAGCTAATTATTATAAGTTAATGTTATAAATAACATCATAAATACCTTGACTTGAATTAATTTTTGATGGGCTATGGCATCAGAAGTGGAAGTTAGAGGGGAAGTAAAATTTATAATTTGTGGAGCTAATTATTATAAGTTAATGTTATAAATAATAACATCATAAATACCTTGACTTGAATTAATATTTTGATGGGCTATGGCATCAGAAGTGGAAGTTAGAGGGGAAGTAAAATTTATAATTTGTGGAGCTAATTATTATAAGTTAATGTTATAAATAATAACATCATAAATACCTTGACTTGAATTAATATTTTGATGGGCTATGGCATCAGAAGTGGAAGTTAGAGGGGAAGTAAAATTTATAATTTGTGGAGCTAATTATTAGAAGTTAATGTTATAAATAATAACATCATAAATACCTTGACTTGAATTAATATTTTGATGGGCTATGGCATCAGAAGTGGAAGTTAGAGGGGAAGTAAAATTTATAATTTGTGGAGCTAATTATTAAAAGTTAATGTTATAAGTAATAACATCATAAATACTTTGACTTGAATTAATATTTTGATGGGCTATGACATCAGAAGTGGAAGTTAGAGGGGCTAATGTTAAAACATCGATTCAATGATAAAATATTTATATAAAAATAATTACCATTAGAAGTTTGTGCAGCTACTAAGTTTTGACAGTCTAAGGAATGTTGAATGGTGATAATTAAATCGAGGCCAATCATTAATTTGGCCCTACCACCACATCTTTTGCGACATGTAAGGTAAACGGCCTTTTTCCCACTTGTATGGGTCAAATATTCATGCCCTTGGTAGCATATATAATCCTTCTTCTTCTGTGTTTGCTGAAAACATAAATAATAAACATATAAAATGGTTCATTACTTTTATTTCAAGTTGTATATATTTAAGATAATTTTTAAGGTTATCTGCTACAGTTGGAATCATATCAAAATATGGCGGCCATTTTTGTGAATATTTGTGTGAGTATTAGTGTAAATATTCTCATTTTTGGCTATTATGATACTTGCTATTTAGGTCTCTTACCAATGAATCGATGGGTTCGGTTCATCCGGTGGTAAATATTATTTTATTTTAATCATATTTATTTACAGATATAACTTACATTAAAGAAATTAAGCTTAAAATCAGCCATCACCCACCTTTAAAGTAATTAAATTATACTGTAGTTCTCGGGTATAGGCTTTTTCTTTGTCCCACTCCTTCTAAATTAAAGCCTATAGAGGTTTAAGCAACATTTTTCGAAATGTTGTGCCTACAAGTACGTGCGGCTTGCCCACAAACGTGTGGAGGGCTCCTCATATTTTTATTTTTATACCCAAATTAAATTGTTCCAATTAGATGGAAATGAGGAAAACCTAGCGTAGCTCTGTTGAATCTTCAACGTTAGAGGGCAAAAGCGCTATATATCACGTATCACGTATTGTATATATAAGAATTGATAAAAGTAATTAATCTTTTGAGAAAAGTTACGAGAATTTTAACGATAGACTAGGAATAATTGTAATTTATATCTGTATAAATTAAAACATAATTTTATAAATATATATTTTTTATAGGATATAGGGATATTAGAATGGAAATATTAATAATTATAAGGAAATATCAATAGTTAAATTATAGAAATAGATATAGTGGAAAATGGGAGGAGATTAAACTATGGAAAAAAGAGAAGTTAAATAATTAATTTGAAACTACATGAAAGATGAATTAATATTTAGAGTCCAGTGATATAAATTTGATAATATAAATTAGACAAGTAAGGAATTTTTTGAATAAGATTATAATAAAGTTTTTAAGATAATAAAGAAGTTAATAACTAAAAATATAAGGAGTTAATAAAGGGTAGTTTATCGATTTTACATCTGAGCCAGAATTTATTTCTTAGGCATACGTCATAGTACATGCACACCTACATTGGAATTAAGGTAGAAAAAGGAAGATTATTTATTTGATTCAGGTTGAATAATTTCACAGGCATACGTCATAGTACACACAAATATACATTAGAATTAAGATAAAGGAAGGATGATTATTTTATCTCATTCAGGTTGAATAATTTTTATAGGTGCATCAGAGCACAGATAAGCCTACATTACTATAATAGTTCTGGTAAGACAATGTAATAAGTGTACATCTAAGTACTGAAATTAAATGGAGATAAAAATAGAAGAACATCAAATTTCCAATATAAGGGAAATAATAAGATTTATAAATTATTTTTAAAAAGACAAAAATGAAATATCAAAAATGAGAAGAAAAATATTTTCTTTTTTGAATGGGAATTTTCCATTTTTGATTGGACCTTTCCCTTGTTTGACACTTTTCTTTTTTTAATTGAAATTTTTCCTTTTTTGATCGGACTTTATCCTAAGCCTTTAGAACTATTCTTTTTTTGATTGACACTCCTTTTTTGATTATAAGGATTGACACTTTTTTTTTGATTGGGCTTTTTCTTTTTTGAATGAAATACTCTGTAAATATATTATTTGTTCTGTTTTGTTAATGTTTCATCAAGATATTATGGTAAAAATGCAAAATACCAATCGTTTTACCCCTGTCTCCCTTACTTATATCAAAGACTATATCAAATTAAAAAAGGAAAAGAAAATATGGGAATTACCAAGAACATGTTAAATTTAAAGTTTAATGATTCAAACACACTTTTTTTTTTACTACAAATGGGGAGATAAGATTTGAAAAGTTATCATATATGAATTTCGTATTCGCTGAAAAACGATTCATAAAATGCCGAATAGTTATATTTAAAAAATTTTTAAAACCCAGGCCATAAAAAATTTACACCCCTGACCGAATAATCTTTTAAAAGAATTCGGGTCGGGCCTGAAAGTATACAACCAGGACCGGGTCCTGCCAAAAATATTTTTGAATAGGGGCCAGGTTGGGCCGTGCATATGGTATCTCTGCACGTCTCCGATTATTCTTCTCCTCTGATTAATCTTTTATTTTTATCTTTTAAAAAGTAATTTCTTTTCATGTTTTCTTCAATTCCCCATTTTTTCCCCCATTTTTAACCATTCTTTTCCCTTTTTTATAATAAAAATTTCTTGTCCCTTTATCATTTTTAATTTTTTCTTCTCCTCCTATTTTTATTTTTTTAAATTCACCCAATTTCTTTATTTCTTTTTAGCAATAAAATCCTTTTTTAAAATTTTTGTATATCTAATTATTTCATTATTATGATATATTGTAAGAAACAAAATATTATACCTCATTAATAATTTTCCGTCTTCTATAACATTCTTTTCGGTTATTTCTTTCTCTCAATGCTCTATAAACATTCCTCTTCATTATTAGGATCCTGAATTCTGGAAAAATCTTATAATTTAAAAAACACATTTTCTTTTAGATTCAGATTTGGGATAATATATATAAAATAAATAAAGGGAATTAATTAACAATAAAAAAAATTATAATTTTTTTAAAAATATACAAATAAATTCACGATTTTCCCATTTTTGATCGGGTTTTTTCCTTTTCCAGTGCAACTTTTCCTTTTTTGATTGACACCTTTTTTTGATAGGACTTTGTCTTTTTTGATTGTAACTATTCTCGTTTGGAATGAGAAACCAAAAAAGCGCTTTAATTGATATGTGTACAAAAAATTTATCAGGCCAGGGCGGCTTTTGGTAAAATTTTAACTTGCCAGGCAAATTATTTAAAAAATTATAACTGGACGGGTCGGGCAACTTGTACAAAAATTTTCAACTTCAGGGCTTTGGTCTCAATCAAGATTATAGAAAATATTTCATTAAAAAAATTTGTGATATCCATAAAAGGAGCGTTCTTTAAAAAAATTTTTGTTACATATTTTTTGAAAAGATTCCGATCTTAATTCAATTCTTTAAATAGGATCGAATAACTATCCTGTAACCCTTCTGTAAGTTTAATTAATATCACTACAGGATATCCGCAACTTCTTAGTGGGGTGGGCAAATTTTTATTTGGGGTGGTAATAGTTTTTTTTTATAATGAGACAAAAGAAAGTTTTTTTATTGAAAATTTGCAAATGAAAACAATTATAAACATTCAAATCTAACACCACGATTTTTATTTTTAAATTTTAACTCAAGTTTTGGGTGTATTTTTCATAAGCTATAGAACTAAATTTGGGTTTATTTATTTTTCATATTCTCTTATGCTCGGTAAAAAGTGTAGATAATGAGACATCACAAGAAACTGTTGATACACAATGATAAACGCTGCTGAATAACATTTATCTAATTTTTAAAAATAATGTGATACTTTTTTCATACATAATATTTATAATATTTTTAAAATCTATATAGAGGTATGCGCGGGCCTAATTTTTTATTCATGGCCCGCTCGCTCACGGTGGAAATACAAAATTTACCCCCTTTCACTATTACTACTAAAAAAGATTTGACCCGACCCGCCATATTTTGATCACGCCCGAAAATTCACAGAGTTTTAAAATTTTGTAAAACTTTATTGCTATACTCTCATTGGCGTACGCAGCGGGGGAGGGGGCAGGGGGACAAATCCCCCCCCCCCCAAAGCCAAAAAATGCAGATGCCGGATTATATTTTTCAAAAATATTATTGTTAATATTAATTTATATTTGTTAATATTTATTACTATCTCATATATATATTTAATTACATTTATTTATCACATTCATCTACTAAGTTATTTTATCAATTAATTTTGATTTCAAGTTTTCCTTGGCGTAATTTACCTGTTATTTAAAAATTTTAGTGGCGTAATATTTATCTAAATTTCTAGTTAAATAATAATTATCTCTGAAACTCCTTGTCTAACAGGGAGAAAGAAATCGCAAGCTTATCCAGATCGAGTCTCCGCCATCAAGCAGTAACAGCTTTTATGGAGTTAGAAGAGCCTATTATTAATGCTATTACTGAAATATCACAATGGCTTGAAAGAAATATTTCCTCAGAAGCAAAATTATTGGATTCAATACTTATTCCAAATTTTTTTTCTCATTAGAATGTATTATTTAATTATACAACTTTATGTAATACTTTTCAAAAACATAACATTGACTTGTTTAAGAAGATGAGAATAGCGGAGAGCATTTTATTAGAACTCAAGGAAATTTGATGAAGAATTTCATATTTTATATGTTATTGTTGAGTCAAAAGCAGAGGTATACGAGTTTAATATTTGTTCCCTCGACTTGCAGCAAGCAAGCTCATCGTCAAAACATTAATATAGGATCAGTAAAAGAGTATTATAAAACAAATGTCCCCTCTCCCAACCTTTTTCATATGGTGATAGAAAAAAAATATAAATATTTGTTAGATTTTTATCATGAAGATGTTAAAATATCTTATGATGCCTTATTAGCTGAATAACTATGATTTAAAGATTAACTATGGTTGATACAGTCCCAAAAAATGCTATGGATGCTTTGCATTATTTCAAACACATTTTAGATTATACTCCCAATGTATTAAAATGGTTATATATATTAGCAGCTCTTTAGTAAACTAATGAGAGAACATTCTCTTTTTTAAGAAGAATAACAGAGCTTTGCAGAGGTACTATTTGCAGGACATTGCCCAGATTTTT